GCTGTCCACCTTGAGCTATTTTCCTCTCCAGATAGGATCTGAATCAATACATTGCAGTGCAGAGTACTTTTGCTTGTGATCAGAGCCAGCCAGTTTGCTGGGCTCTTTTCAAAGATAGCCTTTTACACATCTGCCAGCCTATTTCCAACAGTGGGAATTCTCTATCTGCAGAGAATACTGAGGGTGGGCTAGACCAGGCTAGATTGAGCTGAACAGGGTTGCTTTGACTATGGTATGCCATTTGACGTGGTCCTGGGATCCACAGGAAAGAATTGGGTGGTTTCGGGCTAGGAAACCGCATCATACCTCAAGTGACCTCATTTAGCCTGTCTTCCCTTTAAAGGGAAAAGAAAGAGAGAGAAATCACCCTTCTGTCTTCCACCCCACGGAGAGAACTGAGCATAAATGGACAATTAATGGGAACCCCATAAAACAGGTTTCAAGCTATACTGTAAATACTTACAAATAGTTTTTCTTGCATCTGGATTCTGGCTTTGTATATAAAGAATGCTGCAGTAAATTCTCATAGGATTCTTGCAGCACTGGTGAGATGTTTTTATTCAAAAGGCGGACAATATAACCCTTCTGTGATTCAAGTATTCATGGCTAAAATTATCACACAAATGTTGTATGGATTCCAATTGTGTACTCATGATAACTTTCAACCGTTTGAAATTATTCAAACTAACTTCTTGAGAGATAAATTTGCTTTACCACAGTGTCTCTAATGTGATTTTGTGCCTCGAGGCTGGTGTAATCCCTATCGAAGCTTGTGCCAAGGTATACATGATAGATTAGTAGCTAAAATTTATCTTTGCCCTCCCAACCCCGGAATGAAGACGTGAGACAAGAATTAGGGGTTAATCACAGGCCACATTTTATTAAACAAAATCAGTGTTGCCATTCTTTGGCAAAGGGGGTCCTGCCATAATGTGGAATCAGGTTTAAGCACAGAGGTCCCAAAGGACCCCTTAAGCAACAAATGGGCAAGTCCCCGGCACCAAGTTCTCACAGTCTTAAATTTGACCACCCAGGGGCCTCAAGCCAGCTTCTCTTTGTTGACTGTTGGTTCGGGCATGGCCCCAGTGCATCTTTCCCCCCCAAACACTGTAATTGCACGATCCGCAGCGCTGGGAGGTCAGATGGGCTATAGCTTACCTGAGTTTGCAATGGGACTCACCAACAAAACCTGTTATATCTGCTCTACCCGCCAGTGTGAACCAATTTTCCACCTTTAAACATGTTAGTGCACCTGTTCCAGTGTGGAATAGGCGAAAAATCCCCGCATCTAAATGCCAATCAGGATATGGGTCAAAAATTCCTATCTGGCCCCATAGGCAACCAGATAAACTCAACGTAGAATAAAGGGTAGGTGGGTGGGTGCCACAAATGCCAATCAGGATATGGATCAAAAAATCCTATCTGGCCCCATAGGCAACCAGATAAACTCAACGTAGAATAAAGGGTAGGTGGGTGGGTGCCAAAAGAGGAAGAGGAGAGGGAGGAATGGGTCTTAAATAACTTAACATTCCCCCATCTCCTCCTATGCTAATCTCGTGATACCAGAAGTCTCACGCTATCCGGGGAGAGAAGCAAAGGCGAGCCACAAGTTCGGCTCAGCAGCGGCTCGAGCATTTTATCAGTGTGACTTGCACCATTAACATTATTGGATACTTTTCAAACTGAACGGAAAAGGCACCTGTCTAAAGAATTATTGTTTCTGGGATTTCCCCCAACACCTTAATAGCGCTGGGTTACTCTAAAGCCAACATTGAATTATAAGATCATTTAAGTTCACTGTGTAAATTTAGTGCCTTAGGGGAAAAAAAATTGTGCCATCTCCTTACCAGGCCAATTTAATCTTTCCCAAATTCCTGGAAGTTGAGTCATGGCAGCTGGACATCTTTCTTGTTAGGTTGAAATGTTTCACTATTCATTCAAGTAGCTTCTCCAGTCTGGATGAGTAGTGAAACGTTTTAACCTAACAAGAAAGAAGTCCAGTTGCCATGACTCAAGTTCCAGATAACCTCACCTGGATGACTAAGAATCTTCACAGATATATCTCCAGGTAAGGCAAGGAATGAATCATACTTGAAATGCTAGAAAGCCACTGCCAGTCAGAGTTGATAGTATTGGGCTAAATGAACCAATGTTGGCATTCAGTATAGCTTCCTATATTCGTATGGCCTATGTCCGGTTTGATAACTCTGCTGGTGCAATGGGCAGCAGGACATTGCTGCTGATTAAAGAGTTCTTGTTCTGGATGTTGGCTTGTGTACAACTTTGTTTCATTATGTGCCGGTTCAGCGGTTCATGACGGTTTATATATTGACCAAACAGGTGTTTGGTGCTTCAAAGCCCCACCTCCTCTAGCAAGCAGCCACTGGGGGGGCAGTGCCCGGAGGAGGCGGGGCAGGGAAGCCAGGCCGCTGCCTCCAAGGGGTGCCCACCAGAGAAGGTGGGACTTTGAAGCACCAAATACCAGTTTGGCTGATAAATGAACTGGCATGAACCATGCCCACCAGAAAAGGTGGGACTTTGAAGCGCCAAACACTAGTTTGGCTGATAAACGAACTGGCATGAACCACCAAACCAGCAGCTCATGCCCATTGCTAGTCCAAACTGTAACTCAGCCGGGCTCTAAATTCTGGACAGCTGGAATTATTTGGATTTTAAATGTTCACATCGTTGTGTGTCTGAATTATTATAGTCTGAGATCCCAGAGAGTTATCTAACCAGCTGTATTTTTGCTAGACCCTTACAATCCAGTTTGTCTTTTGCAGTTGCGTTAAACAATTCACACCTGAATTTATCTGAACTGTGGTGAACTCCGCCATAAAAATTCATGTTGAAACCTAACTCAGCAACCTCCTGTGATGCTTCAGATCTGCTTATAACAACTGGGATGTTTAAGGGTGTCATAAATTTCTCCTGTGGTTTACGTTTTCCATCAAGAAAAGGGATGTCATGACAACCAACTTTCACTGTTTATATGCTTGAATAAACTGATTACTTGGGAGAAATGAGACTCAAACAACAAGGATGGCCCTGTGTATTTCTTGATTTTTAAGCAAGAAGTAATTTATTGAGAAGAATTAAAGCGTACCATTGGACTTGCACAAAACACATAAGGGGGTGGGGTGGAAAAGCTTATATCCATTATGAACAAGGAATAGGCAATGGTGATCCCCAAGATTACTCAAATGCAAGAATGGAAAAGGTATGATCCATTCTTGCATGTATATCCATGAGACATCAGCACTTGGTAGGTGAAAAGATAGTATTTTTTAAAAAATCAGCAATAGAGCTAAATACATGGACATGGAAAGAAAATGGTGTGTGAATAATGAGATCTTAAAAGAGAAGACAAATGCCACCCCAAAATATCATGCAACATGGTCCACTATGGAGGGCAGAGGCGGGAAAAGGAGTTTTGGTGCTATGTATTTAATGGGTGAACATTTCCTCAGACAAAGCATGTCACACAAGGATGAGAAATCATTGATCAAGAACACCATAAGAATCCTCACCTTGCTTTGGATCTGTTCTCTTGAGTTTGTTTTCCAAGCCCACGTGCTTTTCAAGTCCCGGTCTCTTCTGCCTCATTGACTGAAGTACCTATGTTGCTCTCAATGGAAGGGCGGTCACAGACGTCTTCACAATTGAGATCCAAAGTGCTGGTAATGGCTTCAGAAACCTTCCATGCAGGCGAGACTGTTGCATAGCAGCAAATTGAAAACTGCTGTGGGACAACAGCCACTTGACAGCCTATTCAGTGGCTGGCGCTGCTCTTGTTACTGCTGCTGCCATCTCTCTTCAGAAATGAAGGTCCTCACACGTTGGGGGCAAAACGAGACTGTGGCCATGGGAAAAGGCTGGTCCAGAGCAACCAGTGTGTGTTCAAGGATAAGTGTTTACAAGACAAGAAAGCCCAGTCGCCTGGATCACACCAAGGCCTTTTGTATCCATGCCTTTAAATTTCCTGTCACACGCACTGGTTGCACACATGGGCGCATGGTGAAAAATTTGAACTCCAGCATCTTAACTAGTGGCAATTTTCTGTGGAAATCTAACCTGATGAGCTTAACGCCAGTGAGAGTCTTCAGCTGGATTCTGGCCATTATATGGTTGAACAATGCATGTATTAGGAGCCACACATACACCTGTCTATAGCTGTCTTCCTGTTTGTCTGTTACCACCTGCTAGTGTGTGTGTCACTGATGGCAGAGTACATCAAAGGTAGAACAGTGGGTATAAGCACTGGTCTATCTTCTGCCAGTCTCCAGGCAGAGAAGCTGAAAGGAAATTAATGAAGGAAGTTGGTAGGAGCAAAAAATTCAAAACCCTGAAATCACCATTTTCCTACATCAGTTCAATTCTCCTCAGCTCCATTAATTTGAGAAGAAGATCCATTATTTCATTGTTAGCTGACACCGTGCTTTCTTATTTTAGCCAGCCTGGTTGAGATGTTTGTGTTAATTTTCCGGATGGATGGATGGATGGATGGATGGATGGATGGATGGATGGATGGATGGATGGATGGATGGATGGATGGATGGATGGATGGATGGATGGATGGATGGATGTTATGGCTCCTAAAGGCTGTTGTATTTGAAATAAAGACTAATCCCTATCATTAAGGCTCAGTGGAAAAATCCAACCATATGGCAATAGAGTGAAGCATTTCGAGACAGACACACAGAAACTGGATAAAAACAGCTCTGAACTCACCTAAGAAATATGCCTTTCATACTTTTGCCATTACAATTTTTATTATTTATTTTATTCAAAATATTTATATCCTGCCATTCTCCTTAAAAAGATCCAATTCTTCGGACCCTTATATGTGAAAGCTCACATTAAAATATAGCAGTTAGTCTTTCTGATGGCTGAACATTTTTGTCTTCTTGTGTGTGAGATGCCAGCACAGACTAACATGGAGACAATTTGGAGGACATTTATTTACACTTTATTTATAATTGTTTATACTTTTTCTGCAGTGTGCCTGAGGAAGTGAATTTATTCATGAAGGCTTGCGTTGAATGATTTTCAGATAAAGGTATTGCCTCTTACCCATTTGTTGTATTCCAAAATGTAAATATCCACTTCCTCAGGCACATTAGAGTGAAGCAAAACTACAGGTATATACAGGGGAGACATAGGAAATGGATTAGCAAGGTCACAGTAGCATTGCAGACACAAGTGAAAGACAGTAAGAATGTTGATTGCATAAATGCCTTGGCTTCAACAGGTTATACCAACCTTTATCTGAGGTGTGAAGTAGCACGAGACTTAATCAAGAGTCATCTCCAGGAGAGTCCATGACCCAATACAAAGAAACAGCAGTTGATCAGACTTTAATGATCAGCATAAGAAGCTAATGCCACATGCCGGTTGGTCCACTCACCAATCCACTGCAGACACAGATGGCGCGATTCTACCAATGGCTCCGCAGCACACGATCCGCTCAGCACTCTTTGACCTTGCAGCGAGACTTGTCCTCCCGCCTCCTACAAGGAGTGGCGAGCAGATCGCACGCTGCAGAGCCATTGGTAGAATTGCACCGTCCACGTCCATGGCAGATCGGTTAGTCAGTCAACTGTCCGGCCCCGTGGGGCTGGACCCTCATTAATGCCACTTGTGCAGGGATATTTGTATTCATATACGAATACAAATACCCCCATCTCTAATTAGAATCATAGAAAAGTGAAGTTGGAAGGGGCCTAACAAGGCTATAAAGTCTCAACCCCCTGCTCAGTGCAGGAATACAACAATCTGCCAGGTGATTATCTAAGTTCTTCTTGAATGCCTCCAGTGTTGGAGCACTCACCAACTCCCGAGGTGACTGGTTCCACTGTTGTACTGCTCTAACAGTTAGGAAGTTTTTCCTGATATTCAACCGAAATCTGGCTTCCTTTAACTTGAGCCCATTGTCCTCTGGGATGATAGAGAACAGGTCTTGCTCTCCTCTGTATGGCAGCCTTTCAAATATTTGAAAAGTGCTATCATATCATCCCTCAGCCTTCTTTTCTCAAGGCTAAACATGTCCATTTCTTTCAGCCTTTCCTCAGGCAGCTTGACAGCAATTAAACTGGGTTGCTGTGGAAGGGGCTTTTCCGCCTGAATAGGTGCTGTTCCTTCTTGATTTGATTTAATTGCATTTTAAATTTATGTCATGTCTAAATTGTAGTTGTTTTGTTCGCCTTTCCTCAAGCAGCTTGATGGCAATTAAACTGGGTTTCTGTGGAAGGGGCTTTCCCCCCTGAATAGGTGCTGTTCCTTCTTGATTTGATTTAATTGCATTTTAAATTTATGTCATGTCTAAATTGTAGTTGTTTTGTTCGAGCTCATTAGTAGCTGCCTTCAGTGCCATTCATGAAGAAATAGCCAAAGTAGAAATCAAATCAAATCAATTCTTTTGGAACAATTTTGACACTTTTTAATTTTAAAAAATCAGCTGCATTATCTGTATTAGCTGTATGTGTGTCTCCAATCTGCCACATTCAGAGCACTTTGCTATTTTTAACTTCTCTTCCGAACAACCCTGCAAGGCAGATGAGTCTATGAATAATCAAAAATAAAGAATTTGCCTTAAAGTCGCATAGTGAGAAATCCTAAATAGGAACATGGGACAGGCCAAACCAATGCTAATAATACCACTATTTTGGCCTCATGGGGAGCAGAAGTGTGTCTCTGTCTCATAAAAATATACGTATTTCTAATAGCAGAAATTATATTCCCTCATTGTTTTCTGTATGATCCCAACCTAACCCTGAGAATTTTCTTGTCCCATTGTAGATTTTTCCTTTAACAGAACCAACGTCTCACATTTGAGGCAGAGATGTGAGGTGCAAGGTGTAGTTAAGATAACAGTTTAGGAGAAACCAAGGGAACAGGCTTCATTAGAGGAATACCATCTGGGGGCAAGTATTATATATAATCTATATAGGGGATTATATAATCTGTATAACCCGAATGGGGAATTTCTTGGCTTTTGAAAGCATTGTGAATGATCCTCAGGAGCTAAACCTGGTTTTGTTTGCAGGTCTCATTTTCAGTCAGAGAAGGTCTGCTTTAATTACATATCTCAACCACTAACATAATTCAGGCTCTAATAACGAGCTAATTTGGCCCTGAGATTGTATAATTAGGACACTGTCTTAGATTCCTTCTATGATGAGAGCCAGACAAAGCCTGGGAAGAAGTAAAGTCATACTTAAGAATATCCATCTACCAAGAAAGGGTAGATGAGATAGATAAACAAGAGGGAACCTTATCTGCTTCTACTATGACTGCCCTGAAATGTATATATTTCTCTGTGCAAAACATTACACCTTTCTTGATTTCCAACAAGTACTGGGATTGAATTGGGTGCAGAACTTCTTTGTATTGCACTGAAAACGGATCTAAACTTCTGTTTTTGTTTTCCAGGTGTAAAACAACCATCCTGATGGCCCCAAACAGTACAGACTTTATGGCCACCTGGAAATTGGAGATGACTCAGTCCACGTGGCTTGATGCCACGAACAACAGCACCTTCTGCCCATGGCCGGAAGGATGGACGTGGCTGAATGATATCCAACCGGTGTTGCTCTGGCTTCTTGCAGTCGTGGGAGTGATCGAGAACGTGTTTGTGCTCAGTGTTCTGCTTCTTCATAAGAGCCGCTGCACGGTGGCTGAAATCTACTTGGCCAACTTAGCAGCTGCTGACCTCCTGTTACTCTGTGGTTTGCCTTTTTGGGCCATCAATATAGCCAATAACTTTGAATGGCCGTTTGGCCTCGCCATGTGCAAAGTTGTGAACACCATCTCGTATATGAACTTGTACTCCAGTATTTACTTCTTGGTTATGGTGAGCATTGACCGCTACCTGGCCTTGGTGAAAACCATGTCTTTGGGAAACATGCGCCGACCTTCCTCTGCCAAATGGTACTGCCTTATTATTTGGGTTTCTGCGCTTTTCTTATGTTCACCGGCTCTGGTATTCAGATCCATAGAACACGTGCCTCCTCCAGATAATGTCACAGCCTGCATTTTGGTTTATCCGTCTACTGATCAGTGGGTAATAATCACAAACACTTTGCTGAACACTGTGGGCTTTTTGATGCCACTTTGTGTCATTACCTACTGCACCGTTCATATCATCCATGCTTTGCAAACGAATGAGTTTCAGCAGATCAGAGCTATTCAGAGTGAGAAGAAAGCCACTGTCCTGGTTCTCGCTGTCCTTTTTTTGTTCTTCATCTGCTGGCTACCTTTCCAGATCACCACATTCTTGGACACATTAAAACAAATCAAGGTTATGTCCAGTTGTCCTGCTGAACAAGTGTTAGATGTGGCTACACAGATTGGGACCTACTGTAGTTTTAGCAACAGTTGCCTTAACCCAATAGTGTATGTTATTGTAGGCAAACACTTCCGAAAGAAATCCAGAGAGGTCTATGGTGGCTTGTTCCTGAGGAGACCTAGCGCAGCACCATCTGTCCTAATGACTTCCATGGAAACTCTTCGATCATCCTTTTCAGTGGAAAACTACCGGAAAAAGTCTGCTGTGAATTTACCGCGATAGGGCTGTTTGCTTATTGTGGCAGCAAAGTGTTAAATGTAGCAGTGAATTTTAGCTGGTGCCCCACTTTAAATAAAGTGGACTCATCCATTTTGGTTGAAACTTCAAGTATGCTGGCATTGCGTTGTAGAGTTTGCATAGGTCAAGAATGGGTGGAAAGTTGATCTAGATCTGCTGGAGGATCTCTGCAATTGACAAAGATTTCTGACTCCCAGTTGTTTAACAAAAGAACACCTTCCTGAAATTACATTGTTCGAAAGAGCTCTAGCTTATTAAGCTCAACTTATTAGAAGTGGATGTTTGCCTAGAAGGAATATGAATTCTGTTCAGGTCTGCAGCTCAAAATGGATTTTTGGGCACAGAATGGATTCAAGTCCTTTACACCAGGTCCCAGTTGGTAGAACAAAGTTGATCCAACATGAGGTTGGGAAACCAGCAGCATCCCATTCCCTGTGGGTTCAGAGGTAAGATCTGAGGCCAGGGGTCAGGCCATCGTGATGTCACAGAGGCAGGGCAGGCAAAGATTTGGAGGGGAAGTCTGCGTCATTGCTGTCACATTGCTTGTGCAAAAAGGAGATGTGATAATATGTAAACTGGTGCTCCACTCCCTGTCTTGCTCTTCATTATATAATGGGCTTCATAATGTCCAAAAGGTCAAGAGCAGTGGGAGATGTCTGGGAAGAGAGATGGGTTGTTCATTTACTTGGGCTGATTGTGTCATTTAGAGAAGCTGTCTCTCTCATGCACAAACAAATCCACATTGAGAAACTTTGTTCTGGCACCAGTTGAGAATGGGTGAAGATTGGCAGCCAGGCTTTAAAACTGCCTCCAAAACACAAATCAAGTTTTTTTTCCCCATCTCCAGTGCTGCCTACTCTGAGGTTTGTCTCCCCGCCCGGGGACCCGAGAAGCACAGCTGTTCCCCTGGACCAGCCTTTAGTGAATCCTGAGAGCTGGCAACTCTGTCAAGGAGCAAGAAATCTGTCCACGATGACATAGGCCACCTACTCCACTTGCCATCATATTTTCGATCTTTCTTTATCCAAATCAGAGAGCTGCACAGTTTAAAATTATGGGCATATATATATATTAAAAATAGATAAAGTTCAAACAAATTTAAATGCCAATAAGATTAGACTATTTTTGACCAGAAGTAGACTATTTCAATGGTGTTATATCAGCCATTTGTACATGTGGTGGGACATAAATTGCATGCACATAAAATGCTCACTGATTAAATTTCTCCACAGTCACAGAAAATTTGTCTTTTATCCAAGTAGCCCCATTGGTCATTCTCTGAGCTTCCTACTTTGCTTCAAAGTCTATTAATTGACTTCGGGATGATCCAGACAGAATCTTGTCCTGGTGGGAGACACTCTGCAGCATTCCTTCATTGTTTTCACTCGCCATAGATTTAGCCTTCTAGTTTAATTTTCCACACTTGAGGCCCATTATGTAATCTAACACACATTCATGGAAGCCACATTCACAAGTGTAAGAATCCCCCACTCCCTCCAGCAGTCCCTTGAGTGTGCCCAGAACCCACTCTGACGGTCTGGTAAAGCAGACCGGGGTGTGTGTGAGAGAGAGTAGGTGAGCAATCCTGATGGTACCATGAGCATCACATAATGTTCAGCATTAATTTAAACACTCATCAACAACTCTCCATCAATCTGGTTACCTACCCCATAAAAGTTGTAGTGTAGTTGTAGTTAATATCCAAAACAGAGAGCTAGAAGAACTCTTTCCGTAGGGCAAAACATGTATATTTATTTCAGCAGAATACAAGGCCTTGTCCAAATTCCTGTTTCTTCTGGATCAGGGTGTTTCTGCAGCCAAACATCTCTGAAAGAGAAGCTTGGGAAATCCCCTCTTGGTGTTTTTTGATCCAAGAATCCTAACCTTTGCCTTACATATGCTAGAGTCATGGTTTGGAGCAAAAGTTGAGAACATGTGGCTGTCCAGGCATTGTTGGACTACAACTCCCATCAGCCCTAGCCAGCATAGTCTAAGGTGAGGACGCAAGCATAGCAGTCCTGTAACATCTGGGGTGCCAGATGTTGTTTATCTTTGGCTTAGGACATTCTCTTTCCATCTGAGAATAAGAGTAGACCTAACCGTATTCAGACACTGCAATGATGGGGAGAATGATTATTCCCTTTGTCTGATTTATACATTAACCTCCGTTCATGAGTTCAGCTGTATATGCTTAGGAAGTCTTTCTCATCCAGTGTTGCTGCCTGGACCAAGAATGCTATGGATATACGTGTTCATCCCACAGGTCCTCCTGGGATTGACAAAGTATTGTTCCCATCATCCCCACTATTGCCCAGGCGGCTATGTTGTTGTTATGTAGGGGTCAGAGTTCTATTGATGTGAGCAGAGCATGCTGTTGCTCATTGCAGCTAATTTATAAGATGCCAGTAAAGGTGCTTGCTGGTGTACCTGATTGTGCAAAAGGGATGCACCTTGACCATTAGCTGCAATTAGTAGCAACACATTATGCAACTCTTGCACAAACCCCAATAGGATGCTAGCCAGATTTAGGAATATCCGGAGGAAATACAGTTTGCTGTATTTGGGGGGTGGGGGTGAAGAAATATACAGAAGTATCTAGAAAGGGAGACGTATATAGAAAGAAGACTGAATCTTCAAAGGAAAATGTCGGCTTGACTTCAAAATAACACAGAACATCCATTTCTTTTTAAAGCATGCATTATACAAAGCCAAAATAGAAGAATGTGTATCATGTTACATGGTGTGTGCTTTTTACAAAATAAAATTCTTCTATAATTTTAACAGGAAGTCCTGCATTAATTTGTTTCCTGCAATAGATTGTGGGATGGGGTAGAAGGACTGAAGGATGTTGGAGTTTCGTTTGCAACTTCATGTGCTACCTGTGGTTTGTTTGACTGGGAAAGACTTCTGGGCTGGGGTGATTATCTATCGAGGAACCAATTGTTCCTTCCAGTCTTTGAATTCAAAGAGAGCCCTGCTCCCCTGCTGAGTGCTCTTTACCTCTCTTTCCTAGCTTGATGGCAGTTGTTTGTTTACTGTTGATCTCTTTGGTTGGTTGCTAAATATACGTGCAGTAAAGAAAGCACCTCACACAAGTCTGCAGGTGTAGGTAAAGAAATGCTTTTTATTATTTCTCCTACAAAGCCTCCCTCTGCGATGGACTTGTAACTCACTCTGAGGTAAAGCCTTTTACCTCTGAGTTACTGCAATTGTAAGTTCCAGTTAAGAAAAAAAGAGGTGGACTCTGAGGGACTTGTAACCATTTGTCTCTATCTTGTACCAAAAGAGAATTTTATCAGAAATTCAAAACTCTGCAACAAAGGAAGTACATACAAGAGATGCACACCTGTTCAAGGTCCTTGCCAGCCACCCATGCCCTCTTTCAGACTACCCATTTTACCATCTACCATATTTATTTATTTGTTTGTTTGTTTCATTTCTGTTACTCAGCATTCTGGAGTTAGTGAACATGCTCCATCCTGACTGGGAATGGAACATGCCCAGTTAGGTTTTGACTTTTAAAAAAGTTTATAATTTGCTGAATCTTGAAGCATTATCTTTTCTCCTGGGGACCATTTTGGCTACCATTTGGCTGTTTGCCCCCAGTCCTTGAGTCCACTACAGTGGGGTCTTGACTTGAGAACTTAATCCGTATTGGAAGGTGGTTCTCAAGTCAAAAAGTCTGTAGGTCAAGTCTCCTTTGACCTACAGTGCATTGAAAACCGATTAATCCCGTAACAGGCCGTTTTTGTTCCATTTTGGTTTTTTTCTGGTCTGTAAGTCAAATCTCAGTCTGCAAGTCAAACCTAAATTTTGCGGCCAGAGAAGTCTGTAACTCAAAAAGTCTGTAAGTCAAGCCGTCTGTAAGTCAAGGGTCCACTGTATTAGAAGGAAAGCAGCTATGTGTCTATATAGTAATGACAACGTGAGACCCTTTCCTGAGTTTTCTGGATAGAGAGTACTCAGAAGTGGTTTGCCATTCCCTTCTTCTGAGGG